CAATTGTTAACCAATGTCCTAAAACAGTACGTGTACTGACTGTTTAACGAGAAAGTACAATTTAAAAAAAAAAAAGCAAACTATCATTCCCCTCATCTGCAAGCTTACTAGATAACTAACTAGTGCTTCCAAGCTCTAGAAAGAGCAGGTTTTCCAGCATAGATGCACTTATCCCACTGCTGCTCACCACTACTCTGCTTCCAGCATGAGTAAATAGTCTTTTCGGTGACCATACAGATATTGTGGATTGTGGATCCACTCTATTCACGGAAGTTTCATCACCCACTGGAATAATTAAAAATAGTGGTTGTTGTTAGCTGCCTTGGGGTCGCCCAGACTCATGGCGACCCCATGAACAACGGTAATGACTTTTAAGTAATTTTATTTCTTCTCAGTTCAAGCCTCAAGTTAAATACAAACGGAAAAACACCAAACACTCTGTGAATACTTCCAAGTCATTTGGAAAAAAGGCATAAGCATAATGGTAATTTCTTACTAATACTGCACACATGACAGTGACTATCAATCATTAGACACCACATCTTCATTAATAAATCTATTAAGTACCAGAGCTGAAATATTGTGCAAGGGTGATTTTGATGCAAAAGTAAAGAATATGAGTCCACAGGTAACAGAACTTTAAGCTAGACTCACTTAGAAGCCTTGGCCTCCCCTCTTACTACATTACAATCCCGCACACCAAGAAGCTTAAGCGTCTAGCTTTTGTCTTCCGCCTCCAGGGACATTTCTGCGGCGAACGGAGATCCCACTCAGTTCTCTTTCCAAAGACTCAAAAGCAGTTCGGGGAGTCGGAGCAGGGCTGTCGGCGCTGAAACGCTGCTAGCAGGCCTGGCAAACAAGCTACCGCGAGGCCGAGGAGTGCGACGAGGCCCCTCGGACAGTCTTGTGTGGTCACTGGAACAAAAAACCGCAACCCCAATCCACGGGAAGCAGCACAGCCTCCTTTCCCACGGACTCCGGCCCCAGCTCCTTCGGGGAGAGCTGTGAGGTGGAGAGGCCCGCGCGTGTGGGATGGGGAAGGGGTGGGGGGGACTCGCGCTGCAGCTCCCGCTCAGCCTTTACCTTCCAGCCCCCGGGACACACCAAGTCCTCCTTCCGTGGCCCCGGAGGCCAGAGGTGCCTTCCTTCCCAACCTCTGACCCCTGACCCTACCATCGTCCACCCTACCTTGGCGGGTTCTCCAAGACTCTTAGGTTTCTCAGCACCAACGCCTGGATCCCTCTAACGCCTCCGCAGACCCCGGAGTCTCATTCACCATTCACAGAGCATCCTCCCGGTGTGAGCACGCGCGCCTTGGGCTGAATTGTTCTGGGGTTCCTGGGGAGCCCAGTAACCACAGCTCCCAGGGGCCGGGCGCGCGCTGGAGCGTGGGGTCAAGGAGAACGCGCACGTCGGAGGCTCCACGCCCCCTTTCTCCTGCAATGGCTTCAAGAGTCCATTCTGCGCAAGTCTACACGGCTAAAGACCAGCTAAGGCAGCGGTTGTAGTCTCGCGATAGCTCTGCGCTATGCCATTAGAGTCTATAGGATTGGCTGGAATCACTAAGGGAGAGGCGGGGTACTAAGCAGATATAGGCGTGGCTTCCCTCCGAGGGCGCCGGGCTCGCCTTGGCGGGACAGGTGTATGTGATTTGTGCCTTTGATAAAACGGTAGAAAAACCTTCTGTATAAGTATCTATTTTATTGCTTCTAGAAGACAGCCACTTATTAAGTACGGATGAAGCGTATCTCCCCCTAAAAAATGCTTTTTAAGAATTTCAAGATAAATGTAAGTAAAGGTTTTAAGATAAGAGAACAGCTACCTACATTGTGCTGAAGCTTTCCTTCCCTTCACTGAGGTAGCCGCTTTCTCATAGAGGTAGACTTAGTTAACTTTGGAATCGTCAGAGGCTTCAGGGCCAGGAGCCAATAAAATGACCCTGAGGAAACATCTGCGACTCAGTGTGAGTGCCAAATAAGGACTCAGCATACTGCTGTGGAGGAGCACATCCCACTGTGCTATCACGGAAGCACAGAGTAAGTTCTTGCCTAAGAGTGCACTCGCTTTAGTTGCCGAGTCGTCCGTATCCTACGTAGGACAGAAATTTATCACAGACCTCTAAGCGTTTACATAAACTAAACTTAGTGAAAAATCGATGCAATCAGTTACCTTATCCAAGGCAAGTTGAAAAGCTAGTCCTGTTGCTGGCAGCGTGGGCAAGACGAGACCCTGTTTTTCGGAAGCCAGTCATTTCGCAAGTACAGGACATAATGGAAACTTTATTCTGGAAATGTAATTTGAAACTCAGTATTTAAATGTACATTTTGCTGTAAAAGGTTGTCTTTGATCATTTTTTCTCACTTCTCACCACTGGAGCAGAGAATTGGGCTCATAGTTTGGTTGAGTCCAGTTGGTGCCAGGCAGAAATATTAAAAAAAAAAAAAAAAAAAAAGCACTGGATCATTTCATGCTTGCATCCTTTGATTGGGTTAAGTCATCTCTATAGAGAAAATTATGGTTATCCTATGCAAGCTATTAAACACCAAAGCCACGAGATATATTTCTATGCACTGGCATTTAGTGGTTACAGTGAAACAAAATTCTGCCTTTTGAATTTTTCAGTGGTATGTTAAATCCTGTATTTGCAGAGTGCCCTGTGTATTGTTTGAAAATTTTCTCTGTAGAGTAATGATGTTCAATACCGTATTAGAATTTCCAGAACTGATTTCAGAAAACATGGTTTACATTTTCACACTGGCTGTGAGACGGCTGTTCACCCCTGACACTTCATGCACCTATTAGATGCTGATAAATCTAATGGCATTCCACACCTGAGAATCTATTGATTAGAAACAGACTGTACCAGTGAACCAACAAGTGTTCATAGAATTCAGCTATTTCTTCTGCAAACTACAAACGTAAGGGCCGTCAATCCACTTGCTTCCTGTGTATTTTCACCAGGCCAAAGCTGTAGATCCAGTTCCTTTTCGGGGACAGTAAGCTTTGTTCTAGCCATACCCCTAACTCAGGTCATCTTTTTTACAAATGAGTGTTATAAGTTGTTCACAAGGAGGGTGACTGGCTAAAAGGAAGTAGATGAGTTACTGCAAAGTTAACTCCTTTGGGGCCGGAACCAAAGGGAAACTGATGAATTTATGTGCAGTGAACATTCGTGGTTCAAACTCACGCAGTGGCTCTACAGGAGAAAGACCTGGGGATCTGCTCCCGTAAAGACTGTTGTTCTTGTTAGGTGCCGTCAAGTCGTTTAGGTGCCCTGCGTACAACAAAAAGAAACACTGCCTGGTCCTATGCCATCCTCACAATTGTTGCTATTTGAGCCTATTGTTGCAGTCACTGTGTCAAATCATCTCATTGAGGGTCCTGTTTTTCACTGACCCCCTACTTTACCAAGCTTGATGTCCTTCTCCAGGGACTGGTCCTTGCTGATAACAGGACCAAAGTACATGAGATGAAGTCTCACCATCCTTGCTTGTAATGAGCATTCTGGCTGTACTTCTTCCAAGACAGATTTGTTCGTTCTTCTGGCAATCCATGGTATATTCAATATTCTATGCCAACACCGTAATTCAAAGACATCAATTCTTCTTTGGTCTTCCTTATTCATTGTCCAGCTTCCACATGCATATGAGATGATCGAGAATACCGTGGCTTGGTTGAGGTGCACCTTAGTCCTCCAAATGACGTTTTTGCCTTTTAACACTTTAAACAGGTCTTTGACAGCAGATTTTCCCAATGCAATATGTCCTTTGATTTCCTTCTTTCTTTTTTTTTAATTGTGCTTTAGAGGAAAGTTTACAACTCAAGTTAATTTCTCATACAAAAATTTATATACGTATTGTTATGTGATATTAGTTGCAGTCCCTATAATGTGACAGCACATTCTCCCGTTCCATCCCGGGTTTCTTGTGTCTGTTCAACCAGTTCCTGTCCCCTCCTGCCTTCTTATCCTGACTCCAGACAAGAGCTGCCCTTTTGGTCTCCTGTATCTGTTTGAACTAAGAAGCATACCCTTCACGAGTATTATTTTATGTCTTGTAGTCCAGTCTAATCTTTGTGAAGAGTGGGCTTTGGGAATGGTTTCTGTTCTGGGTTAACAGAGCATCCTGGGGCCATGGCTTCGGGGGTTCCTCCTGTCTCAGTCAGACCATTAAGTCTGGTCTTTTTACTAGAATTTGAGTTCTGCACCCCACTTTTCTCCTGCTCCGTCAGGGACTCTATTGTGTTCCCTGTCAGGGCCATCATTGATGGTAGCTGGGCACCATCTAGTTCTTCTGGTCTCAGGCTGATGGAGTCTCTGGTTTATGGGGCCCTTTTGTCTCTTAGACTAATATTTTCCTTGTGTCTTTGGTGTTCTTCATTCTCCTTTGCTCCAAGTGGGATGGGACCAACTGATGCATCTTAGATGGCCGCTCACAAGCTTTTAAGACTGCAGACACCACTCACCAAAGTGGGATAAAGAACATTTTCTTAATAAACATTGTTATGCCACTTGACCTAGATGTCCCCTGAAATGATAGTCCCCAGACCCCAGCCCCAGCTACTCTGTCTCTCAAACTATTTGGCTGTGTTCAGGAAACTTCTTAGCTTTTGCTTTAATCCAGTTGTGCTGACTTCCCCTGTATCGAGTGCTGTCCTTCCCTTCACCTAAGATGATTCTTGTCTACTATCTAGTTAGTGAATTCCCCTCTCCCTTCCTCCCCACGCTCGTCACCATCAAAGAATGTTTACTTCTATGTTTAAAGCTTTTCTTGAGTTCTTACAATAGTGGTCTCATATAATATTTGTTCTTTTGTGACTAACTTCAGTTAGCATAATGCCCTCCAGATTCATCCATGTTATGTTTTGCAGATTCAACGTTGTTATTTATCTTTGTGTAGTATTCCATTGTATGTATGTACCATAATTTGTTTATCCATTCGTCTGTTGATGGGCACTTAGGTTGTTTCCACTTTTTTGCTATTGTGAACAATGCTATAATAAACATGGGTTTGCATATGTCTATTCATGTGACAGCTCTTATTTGTCTAGGATATATTCCAAGGAGTGGGATTGCTGGATCATATGGAACTTCTATTTCTACCTTTTTAAGGAAGCGCCAAATGGATTTCCAAAGTGGTTGTACTATTTTACATTCCCACCAGCAGTGCAGTGTTCCAGTCTCTCCACAACCTCTCTAACATTTATTATTTTGTGTTTCTTTGGATTAGTGCCAGCCTTGTTGGGATGAGATGGTATCTCATTGCAGTTTTGATTTGCATTTCTCTAATGGCTTATGATCATAAGGGTTTCCTCATGTGTCTGTTAGCCACCTGAATGTCTTTTTTGGTGAAGTGTCTATTCATATTTTTTGCTCATTTTTTAACTGGGTTATTTGTCTTTTTTGTTTTTGAGATGTTGCAGTATCTTGTAGATTTTAGAGATTAGACCCTTACTGGATATGTCGTAGCCAAAATCTTTTTCCGGGTCTGCTTTATTGTTGTCGTTAGGTGCTGTTAAGTTGGTTCTGACTCAAAGCAACCCTGTGTACAATGGAACAAAACACTACCTGGTCCTGCGCCATCCTCACAATTGTTGTTATGCTTCAGCCCACTGTTGCTGCTGCTGTGTCAGTCCATTTTGTTGAGGAACTCCCTTTTTTTCGCTGACCCTCTACTTTACCAAGCATGATGTCCTTCTCCAGGGACTGATCCCTCCTGATAACATGTCCAGTGTACGTGAGATGAAGTCTCGCCATCCTTGCTTCTAAGGAACATTCTGGTTTTACTTCTTCCAAGACAGATTTGTTCGTTCTTTTGGCAGTTCATGGTATATTCAATATTCTTTGCCAAAACCACAATTCAAAGGCGTCAGTTCTTCTTCAGTCTTCCGTTTTCATTATCCAGCTTTCACATATTTATGAGGTGATTGAAAACACCATGGCTTGTGTCAGATGCACCTTAGTCTTCAAGGTGACATCTTTGTTTTTTAATACTTCAAAGAAGTCTATTGCAGCAGATTTGCTCCATACAGTGCATCATTCGATTTCTTGACTACTGCTTCCATGGTTGATTGTGGATCCAAGAAAAATGAAATCCTTGACGACTTCAATCTTTTCTCTATTTATCATGCTATTTCTTATTGGTCCAGTCGTGAGGATTTTTGTTTTCTTTATGTTGAGGTGTAATCCATACTGAAGGCTATGGTCTTTGATCTTCATCAGTAAGTGCTTCAAGTCCTCTTCACTTTCATCAAGCAAGTTTGTGTCATCAGCATATTGCAGGTTGTTAATGAGTCTTCCTCCAATCCTGATGCCCCATTCTTCTTCATATAGTCCAGTTTCTCAGATTATTTGTTCAGCATACAGATTAGGTATAGTGAAAGGATACAACCG